GGTGCAAAAATAAAAAGTATAATATGGATTCATATTAACCAAAGGAATTTTATTTAGAAAGAAATATCACTGATGCTCTCTGTCTAGGGTGAGTCAGTCAATCAATCTCTGAAATTTTGTTTGTTATAGTGCATTTTCACAATGGATATTGTCACAGTGTGGAACATAGTGCCTTTTCCAGAGGGTACGGCAAACCCAGGGCCACTTGGGAAATCATTCCCTGACACTGGAAACAGGCAGTTGTGTTACTCCTGAATGAAAACAGTGGATTGAAATGAAATATCCATCAGTTCCTTGCATCATGCTTGAGTCTAGTGGGAGTTTGGTGGCTGAGGGATCGCAGGGTGGGTTCAGGCAGGCTTTGAGGGGAACCTTCCATTTAACAATGGCCAGGGCAGAGATGGTTCAGGTGTCCTGTCTGCTGAGGCAGAGGAGTGATAATCAGTAGGGGATTGAGCGGCAGGAGAACTTGTTTGGATGTTATGAGCAACAGACAGAGCAAGGGGGGATACACCAGGCAATTTGGGTGTCTGTAGCAGTGTAACACTATGGCAAATTTAATACTGAGAACAGAGTGGTATTGACAAAGTGCCTGTTAAGTTACACAGCTCATACACCTCCATCTTTTCTCCTCACTCTACCTGTGGGTCCACTCCAAATTCTGGGGTGGACTCATGAAAAAATTCCATTTTAAACATCTCACCTCAAGTGAACATTGATTTAGACATCCTAATACCTAAATGTCAAGTAGTAAGTGTCAAGTGTCTAAACTTACCTGGGAAAGTTGAACCAGGATCTGTCAAGTGATACACAAAAGCCTAAGGAAAGGATTCTTTACTGCCTCCATGCATTTTGACTGTACAGGTGCTAAAGGTTGATTATAAATTTTCAGGTTACATGCTATATCTTATCACCAATACTTAAGCAAAACTGTTCTTTAATGAACATTACCCACAGAGACCAGGATCTGTGTCCTGACGCCAGAATGAATTGATTTCTGTAGTTTTGTGTGGATGTCTTGGGTGGACCTGTGCTGCTTGCATCAACTCAGGTTAATTAATTGAATGTGAAAAGCATGGTTTTCTCTTAATTGAACAGATTTCAAAGTGATTACCGCTATTGTGAAACTGAACATAGGATATCTTTTCCTTGAGATATGGTTTTAATTAAACCTCATTGTTGATACAGGTTTCAACAGAAAACTGTTCAAAAGGGAGATTCTGAATCGGTCTGTGTCACAAAAGATTTCCACCCATCACTATTCTGTTGTCTCTCAGTTCCTGGTGCGTTAATATTCATTGTTTTTTTCTCAACGTCTCTCACCTGTAAAGTTTGCGGTCTCCATCTTTTTTTGAATAAAATGCCAGTACAGCAAAATAACCTTTTATGTGCGTGTAATGTTATTCCATCGAAAAATGAATGAATTTTAAATTGATTTGTTCAGGGATGTGCCCTGTACCTAATGTTCCCCCCGTCATCGGTTTCCCTGATGTCTTTGGTCAGATGAAGTCTTGGCACGATACGGATTCCTTTAGTTTACCCTCAATGTGCCGGTGCAAAGCCAGCCTTCTCTCTCTCCACTTCGCAAACTTCAACAAAACATTCTTTATCTTTTACAAATAGATTTTTGATTGGACAGTTGCAATATTGCTGACCTTTTGAAATACCTCCCAAAAGCATGAAAAATGTATGTTTCCGAAAAGGTCAACCTTGATATTTTCTGTAGGGAGAGAGTGAAATATTTATGATGACCTCTCCATAGCTATCATGCCCTGAAAGTCAGGAGCAGTTTTTTCTCTTCACAGGATCACATTTATATAGTCACGGCGGAAGGGGAAATATCAAGACGTGAGCATGAAGTGAATAAATCGTTAGTCGTCTGGAGCTGAATTAAATATTCCTCTGTGGATTATTTTTAAAACCGAAAGTCTAGAAATAGATACATATTTATATAATAACCTATTTCATAAAAATTATTCATGTCTGATACAGAGAAAATGAGTGCAAGGCAAAAGCATTCTCTAGCTGCTCTGTGGTTCACTGTGTGGGATTGATATATTCCTGTGTGGTTGGTTGTGCCAGCTATTTAAAAATATATGTGTATCATGCATTTCAGTTCAAGCTGAAAAACGTTAATTAAAAAAATTTTCTGGAACATGAATATGTAATGTCACATTGTCATTAAATATGAGATAAGCAGATGTCTTAGCCCGTGTGTGAGAATATCTGCAGAACTGCTTGCTCATACGGAATCATTCTCTCTCATTGTGAAGCAGATTCCCGTCCTGATGCTCGCTGCTGACAACAAAACACCGTCAGTGTCCTCCCGTGACCTTCGGGGAGACATTTATTCCCCTCTGTTTCATGGCCCATATACAGGCAGCAATATCATGTCAACAAAGGCATCACCCAAATTCATCAGCAAAGACTAAGAGTGCAAAATATTTTCTGCTCTAAAATAGAAAAAAGAGACAAAGAACCACAACAGTTTGTACGACGTCTCTTGTCCTCAGTAGACTTCTTTCTTGCTGTGTATTGTTACCACACTGGTGTTAGTTTCACACAGTCCGTTCCTCTGTTTATTACGGTGGAGAGTACTTCCTCGGGGAACGGTGGGGTGTTATTTGAAAAACGCCTGCATAGGTGTTGTTTTCGTTGCACTTGTGAAGAATTTATGCAGCCTGCAAAAAAATAATTCCTTCTCGCCCGCTCTTAGGTACGGCCACGGGGACTTGGACAGTGAGGCCCCAGAGCAATCAGAACTGCAGGCCAGCCTCCACGAGGCTTGCACGGCTCTCTCCTCTGTGGCTGTACTTTTCAGTCTGTTCTGTTGTTTCTGACGCCTTTTTAATTGCTATTTCTCCTCATCCCCTCCGCCGATCCCCCCCGAAGGCCGCCACCACTAATTAAAACTAATTACACAAAGTTTCAAACGGGAGAATGAGTGAGTCCTTACATCTGCAGAAATGTCAACGTCAAAAATCAGCAAGAGCACCGGGGAAATTTTCAGCTGAGAAGCTGGTACCGGAAAGTTCATGCACAATTTTGAATGGCATAAACTGGCACAGTGCTTCCTTACAACATTAATGTGATGCTCAGGCTGTAGCAAGGGGTAACAACTGGAAAGTGAGGCCTCATAATGCACAGGGCTACCACGGGCTGTCAATCACTGGTATGCATGAATCAGAATCAGCCAAATCACTTTGCTTTCCATAGTGAAACAGTATGATTTGCTCAAATCTGAGACTCTCTGATGACATGTCATAGCCCCATCCATTTAGGAGTTTATGACATCTCACACTGTCATCACTAGGGATCAGGGAGACAGGAGACAAACTGTGGCCTCTTATTCTGTGCAGCTGTGATCACTACAATATTTAACAGACCTGTCTTGTTTAAGAAAGCAGGCCTCTGACTGCAGGTAAACCCAGGCCTGTGGCAGAATTTCACTGCACTCTGCTCCAGGACACATGCAGAACGTATTTCTGGGGGAAATATATTTGGCCTGTGTGTACTCTGGCACTCCGAGCATAAATAATGAATGAGGAGATGTTGAATGAGAGGTTGTATTTTGTCTGACTCACAGAGGAGGGTATCACTGCGTACTCGCAAGCTGGGGAGAGTCAGAAGAAACCCAATACACCCCAGCACTGCATTGTGGGTAATGAACAGATGCACGTCTGAGGTTACAGCAGCAAAAAACAACTGAAACAACAGCTAAAGTGTCCAAAGCGCCGAACTGTGTTGTGTGCACAATCAGCGGTTTAGGTCTGGAGCACAGAGCCGAACAGACACACGGTGTGGAAGCATATGAACACTGACAGCACCCAAAGTCCTAGAATGTCATCATCCTTTTGCTTTGTGTGGTTCATTAACTAAGGTATTAATCCATCTGTGTCAGTCCCATCTATTTAAACTGGGCAAAACCACCACAGAAGGGTGTGGTAGGAAATAGCCTCATGTTACCATGGTAAGAAATGTACCAACGGAGCTGACTGAGTCTGTTTGAACACGGGGATGGGTGGTCAGGTGCGTAATTTGATGCCTGAATGTGTATACCTCGCTGCCAGGTTAATTCTAGCTTTACTTTTGCAATATGAAAGGCCCCACACCAGTATTTTCCAACAACTCAGGTAGCCTCAGTATCTGGTGTGAAAATCGACCGGAGATTGAAACCATCTTTTGAACGCAGGCAAATTGCTTTCGTGTTTGGTACTGTTTGATATGAACGCTGCAGACGGAGGTGAGACCACAGCAGAAAACACGCCCTCTCGCTCATCCCACACGGACAGCGCCCCCTACCTCCCCCCGCCAGTATTGAAGCGCCGGTATTGACAGGGAGAACATGTCTGGCTTGGTGTGTTGATGCAGCGCACTACTGGGTGAACTTCAGGGACTCCTGCCGGGTGTCTTATCATTTTTACATTACTTATCTGTCCTACCATATCCAGGGCACCTCACCGTGCCGTACAGCAGCGAACAGCACAGTGCATCCTTCATCGGTCCCGCCGGAGCTCTCGCAAGAGCAGGGCAGGTTAAGCATCTTTGCTTAAGTGCCTTTGCTCAAGGGTATGTGTCCAGAGGGCTTCTCAAGTTTCAAACACTGCAGCCCTTTTAATAGCGAGACTAAAGACATAACCACAATGCCCTGCAAACGTCAACGGCAGCTCGTCTGCTCTCCTAGCCAGACCGCAGAGATTCCAGAGAAACACTGTTTTATTCTGTCAGTAAACAAGGCCGGCTGATCTCACTGGTCTTTCGGACTGGAGAATATCAGGCCTCGACACCGCAAGGTCATGAGTTCAGTCCAAAATATGAGACAGACTCTTCTGATGACTTTCAAAACAGCTCCTAGTGTTTCTATGCCAGACAGTAAGCCTTACAGAGATGGTTAGAGTCAGTGGTCTGTGACGGCTGAGTGGGGTCTATATGAGGACCTTAATGCCATAGATATCAAGACTCTGACCCTGGGAGATATCTGTATAAGGGAACCTGGCAGCGGCAGTGTAGCATAGTGGTAAGGTGGAGGGCTCATAACCAAAAGGTTGCTGGTTCAATTCAGCACTGCTGCTGTATCCTTGGGCAAGGAACTTAACCCACAACTGTCTCAGTAAAATATCCAGCTGTATAAATGGATAACATGTGAAAACTGTAACCTAGATAGGAGTGTCTGCTAAATGACAATAATGTAATGTAACCTCTAATAAACTGGATACATCCTGCATTCTCTACAATCCGGCTCTGTGAGCCCCCTGGATCGGGGAACCTCAAATAAGCAGGACTACTTCTTCATTTTACTGTACGAGCCTCAGAACCAGTGAGATCAATCATGGAGAATCCATCAGGTTTGATTCCTTCAGTGGTTTGTGAGCCTCCTTGGGGGGTCCCCAGTATTCACTGAGCTCCTCCTTCCTTCCATTGTCAGGAGGGCTCTTTATTAGGTGGATTTACGTCTAGTCAGGTTCCTGGAGATCTTTACTGGCTTTTCTTCTGAATGAGGGAAAACGGAAATCTCTGTGAAGAGAAAATTAAACGTCCCTTCTACACTGTCAACCATCCACAGAAGGACTTACCCAACATCCAGGGAGAGTCAATACGTTACTGACCGCATAAAGCGCATAAAGCGCATAAAGAGGAGACAGGTTGTAATTAATACGTTAATAGTCAATACGTTACTGACCTCATAAAGCGCATAAAGAGGAGACAGGTTGTAATTAATAATATTGATTCTGATTCTGACTCCAAATTAAGGGTAATAATCAGCTCTGGACTGTGTTTTCTAGGCAATAACTTCCAAACTCCCCTCTCAGAACAGCTTCATTCACTAGACTTTATTTTCATTCAATACACTGTAAAGTATCCTGAAAACTACAGCAATTACAAAGATTTACCCACTGCTGATGCCCTGACTGACAATCTGAGATCCTATGCATTTCAGTCGATATTTCCCTACACAATATTCATTGACTATACTGTGCTGTATCCATAAACTGTACTATACAGTATTCATTTACTATACTATACTGTATTCATTCACATCCATTATCCATTAACTATTACAATTAACAACAGATAACGGAAGTAATATTTTTGGTCCCTTGTCATTAAAAATGTATGTTTCTGTGAACCATTTCGTTTTTTCTTTTGTTTTTTGTTTTTGGAGAAAAGGGAACTTTGAAATCAAAGCAAAGTGTTTCTGTTTACTCATGATCCCCAAGGATCCCTGTGTCTTTCAGAAAATCAGAGCACCTATAAATATAACCTCGGTATTTAAAGTTGGTTGTGAGCAGGTTAGGCTTCCATGGAAAGACCTTTTGGGGGAGCAAGTGCACCCATTTTCTTCTTACCTCGCTTTGACGGGATATTATGTAGGTCACCCCATGGCTGGAAGGAAAAGAGGAGAAACCGTTTGATCCCATGCTTTTAAGAACCCAGGACCTTAGCCCAGATTCTGCTGCACACTTCAAAGTCCACTTCCTGGACATCTAATAACCCCCCTCATTTAACCAGCTAAATAAATTCCTCCCTCTCCACCTCAGCTGATGTGTGCAGAGGTGCTTCCGACGCAGAATAATTGGTTCTACATGAGAAAGGGGATCACGCCGATCAGGAAAAACCAACCAGCCTGTGGTTAATTTACATCTCCGGTAGTTTTGGAATCCATCCTAAGAGATCAGGTCAGAATTATTAAATTAGAAAACAGGAAAGTCATCACATTGTTTTCAGAGGAAGATCTTGCTGAACGTATCTGCTGACTATGACTAAGCTATGACATTTACAGACTCGCATAATAGTGTGAGCCAGTTTTGTAAATTTTCAACATTTGAGTAAGTGCTATCCAAACAAGCTGTGATAAAAGACAATCAGCAGTTTTTAGTCAGATTCAGCTGGCCACTTTAAGCCAGATTGATAACAACCACTGAGCTCAAGCTGCTTCACCATGATTCTGTTTATTGCTATGCAAACTGTTCTGTAAACTGTTGATTATGCTCAACAGATTTGTAAAGTGAATTTGGTGTTGGCATTTTGTAGAAATAATGCCAACTCTCACAGAGGCATGCAAAATAGCTGTTTAGATAAATAATCTGCAGAGAGAACATGTAAAGAAATAGTATGAAAGTTCATCTTCAAGTTATAACCTCAATGAAAATGAATGAATGAATGAATGAATGAATTGAAAAAAAAAACCCCAAATAAACAGATGAAAGTAAAATATTGAGTGGTACACCAGCAGTCTGGCAGATTTGTGATGAATGATTCAGAGTATGTCACTAATCCATATTTGAATTATAGCCCATCATGAATATGGAATTTGGAATTGATGCTGGTAACAAAAAATGAGCCGGAACTCTGAGGGCTATGTGACGAATAATGTTCTGGAGCAGCTGTCACAATGATGGAACACAGTAGAAAGAGCTCAGAACTGCGAAGACTTCCTCTGCTCTATTTTCTCAGTGTGGAACTGGAACAGGTTTTTTGCAGAATTTGGAGCAACAGATCATTCATCTCACTTTGGATCAGAAGCTATAGCCATATGTTTTGACCGCATTGCTAGGTTGTGTTTTTCTCCAAGAGATGTTGAACTGGAATTGGGGGGTTGGGAAGGAGGTTGAAGGCAGTAGGGAATTAGCCAAGGGGTGTGGGGGAGGGGACACACATAAAATAGAAACAGGGGCCCTCTTGAAGAGAGGAGTGTTAAAACCAGTGTGGTTTCAGAAATGAATCATTTCAGCTTCATATATAATTCCTTCATGAGCAGGACATTACCACCTTATAAAGCAGTTATAAGCAAATATGCCATCACATTCATTGTTTCATACTTTACATAACATATACTATTAATTCATATTATCAAAGATAAAGATACTGTACTCACCATGCAGAGAGACCCCCAAAGGTTTCAAAGCTGCATTTTAAAGTTTAATGAAAATGCATGTTCACAGGCATGAAGCAAATGCATCTTACACTGATGACAGTGTGTGTGCCAAAACATATTTTCTCCATGTCTGTGGACATGAATTTCTATTAAACTTTAAAATGCACCTTTGAAAGCTTGTGGTTCTCTTTGTATGGTGAGCGTAGTATCTTTCTCCTCAGTGTGACATAGGTTTCTTTAATGCTAGCACCCCTTTTATAATAAAAAAGACCTTTCCTGGGATTGAGTGTACCCCTGCTATCAGTTAATTAATCCATATCAGACATCTAAAAGCACTGCAGCTTTTTTGTAAAGAGCCAATGCTATTTTAGTGCAGGTGTTACACTGCATTACATTTGCTTATCAGGTGCTCCTATCCAGAGCAACGAACATTGGGTAATTTTACTGTAATTAATGCAGTTCCATATTCGCAGATACAGCACAGTTTAGCAGCAGGGTTTAGGTTTGTTCTTTCTGCAGGGTGTTATCTCAGGATGTGTTCGTGTTCACAATGGGCTCAAATTGCTCTTTTTACCCTTGGAAGACAGCATTGCGTGTGTTTTTCACAGACCATCTACTGATGGAAGTCAACCTGCATGACAGGTAGCTGGAAACAGAGCCAGGTAGGCTCACAAGAGAATTAGAAATCATAGTTGTCCGTGTGGGTCTCACTGGGCAGCCTTGGCTAAGAATCAGTCGGCCTTCGCTCAGAATCAAACCCTCTGCAGACCCCCCAACTCCCTCTCACTCTTACGCCATGTCCACACATACACGGGTATTTTTGAAAACGGGGGTTTTCCTCCTTCGTTCTTAAAAAAATATCCGTCCACACGAAAACGCAAACACACGCTGTCAAGAGCATGCTAAACCAACAGGCGACAATATAACCCTAACTGTAAAGCCATGTTGGCCAATCAGAAGCCTGAAAAAAAGTTATTACAGCGCACACTCTGACGTCACAAGCCAAAAACTCTGTTTTCCCTGTCTACACGTGAACACTGAAAACGGAGTTTCTGAAAATCTTCACCCTGGAAGGCGTTTTGCAAAAGATCCGTTTTCAGTGACCTAAAACGCCGTTTGCGTGTGGACAAAAGGCCAAAACACATAGAAAAAGCTGCGTTGTTAAAAATACCCGTGTATGTGTGGACAGGGCCTTATACAGAGAGACAGACCACACACCTTCCCAAGCAACTAGACAGTGACCACCAACAGCCCAGCCCAGACACACCAGTCATTCTGAGGAGGCAGACTGGCGGCTTCTTTAGTTCAACCTAACTTTTAATGGCATAGGCTCAAACGCACGAGCGCCCAACTTTGCGCCGTCAGGTACAGCCACAGATTCCCGACAGCTCGGATCTCTGTGGACTCCCGCCTCCTCCCCCCCCGCATTGGCTGACAGTAGTGTGACCGTTCACGAGTTTCGACCCGAATGAACCTGGGGATTTGAGTCCCAGGCAGCTGTAATTAGGATGTGCCGCAGCGGAGGATGACAGAGAGATGAATGTGCCGGAGTAACTCACTGTAATGACCAAGCATCGGCGGCGCGGGCTCTGTGAGGCGCCTCCTGTCCTTTACAGGCAGAAGAGGTCAGGCTCCGTCTCATCACCAACCCTGGGGGGTGCCAACAGGTACCCTCAGCAGGCGGGACACAGCAGAGCAGGGGGGAGGAAGACTGTGCAGACAGAGGGAGGGAGAGGACAAAACTGGACTGACCCTATGAAGTTGTGAAGAAGTGTTTTAGATCTAGGAAGTGTCTGTGTAGGATGGTGGTAAAGAGCCAGGCAGGTAACCAAAAGTTTTCTGGTTCAATTCCCCGCTGGGACACTGCTGCGATACCTCTGGGTAAGGTACTTAACCCAAAACTGCCTCAGTAATTGCCCAGCTGTATAAATGCATAACATGTAAAAACTGTAACCTCTGCAAGTCGCTCTGGATAAGAGCATCTGCTAAATGACAGTGATGTAATGTAGATTCTTTCTTTATAAATGCAAGTGTATATTGGGCCAGAGTGGCTGAGAGTAGACAGACAGAATGACTGGGAGAAAAGAGAGACATTCCTCTTTGCAGACTATAGATACCACAATCAGGTGGACTGACAGAACTATTTAATTCAGTGATTAGGATCATTTAATTCCGGTGGCGAAAGAAGGGAAACTTT